AAATTATGATAGCAGTTCTACATAAGAAAAAGTTTCTTTCACTCTCTCTTCTTTATTGTTTTTTCAGTAAATGACTTGAAGTAAATATTTTCTTTATATTTATACGTTTTGTATTACTCTCATTCACTTAATTTGTTACAACAAAATTCCTTAAATTAAAACCATCTTTTCATAATAAGTACGCTAATATGAAACTTAAACAAATAAAAACACGAATCATTTTAATCATAAAAGCAAACAGATAGAAAATAGTTTCCTAAAATGTCAATTTAGATATATTTTAAAAACGATAAAATGTTAAGTCTGAGAATATATATTTAAAAACTTAGATCATTCATAAATATTATTGAACATCACATCCTAGGTATACGTTCTCGATGAAATATCAGTTGATCTAGATACGAAGGAATTTAGAAAATAAACTCGGATTAGCCATATTTTAAAAGTTTTATGCTTATGGTGATAGGCAATGATTTTTAAAAAATAAACATGAAATCGACCACTTCTGCCAACATGAATGCATGTGTTTTATGCTTACGTCATTCCATTCATAAGAAAGGAACATACAAAATGTAAGTTAAATACTTTGTATTTTTTGAGACACACGACTACATATCTTCATTAAAAATTTAAACAGTTTATGCAATCTTTATGATACTTTTTTCTTTCTTGTCGGTTAAGAATTTTCTTATATAATCAAACAAATTTTATTTTTTGCGCAGACGAAGCAAAAATTTTCATTTCTAATGATCAGCAAAGCAAAATGGCTCAATAGTAACAAACAGCCGAGAAAAAATATTTTTAGCGTGCTACTCAGCTTGTTGAAATGCTTCTATGATTTTATAATCAATTTTAAGAATTTCTTGTTAATTAATTTTATCGGTTAGATACAAAAATGTTTTCTTGCTGGGAGATTCTTCTGGAATTTTTCAAAGGAATTTAATATTTTTATTGTTGGCAAATAAATCACAAATGTGTAACATTATAAATAAAATTTTGATCTATAGACATTCTTGTTAAGATGAGAGAAATATTTAAATTCTTTCGTTTGACGACATCCAAGACAAGTATACAAAAGTTTTCTTTTTAAAATTTCTCATATTTCATCAGTTTCTTGTTTTGAATTAAGAATGAATGGAGAGTAAATGCTACTTTTCATTTTAAAACAGACAGATACATATATCGAATGAATGAAAATATTTTTCAATGACCTTAAAAATTTTTAAGTTTGCATTTTTCTAGTGGTTGTTGCGCTTTTATCGTTATTTTGTCTATGTCCAAAAACAAGTATTGTGTTGCTAATTTACATTTCGAGGAAAGAATTTTTTTAACTAAATGTGAAGGATGATTGAAAGGTTCTGTCTAAATGCATTCAGAATTCAAAGAATGCGCTTTCAATAATGCAACATATTACGTGTTTTTTTTTTGTCTCAATTCATTTATTCCCTTATTATATTTATTGTAAATGCTCGTAAATACGTGTTTATTTTAAAATTTGGATCACAAACTACATACACCTGAAATATAATTGTTATTGCGTTCATTTACTTCAGTTTACTTATTTTCTGAATTTTGAAGAAAATAAAAACTCATTTTAAAATTTACACGCGACTAAAGAATCATAGCCTTAAGCAGTTAAAGGTGGCATGATATATTGACTATAAAGGGTTGTTAAGTTCATAAATTTTTCTTTTATTTTTTAAATATCAAAGTTATGAAGATTTATGATTTCACTAGATTCTACCAATGTCGGTGTGATTAAAATTATTTCTTTTTTCTAGTAAATAAATTAATTTAACCCACGGGAATGAAAGAAGTGCCAACGTGAAATCAAACCTTTTTACATGTTCTAAATTTTTAATAGATAGTTCATCTACTGTATACTGTATAATTTTTAACAAAGATGTTTTAAGACAAAGTTTACATGACTGATAAGTTTGGACTAGACAATGTTTTTCGTCATGCAGCAATTTAAAGATTTATTCTATCACATACAACAAGTTGAGACTGTGCTTTTTCTCTTTTTCTCCTTTTCCAAAATGCCGGCAAACGTGCAATTTAAAAGAAAATCGATAAACCGGCTATGAATGAAGCATACTATATTTATAATAATTTTATAAAGTTCTACTTTGTGTCTTTTTAGGTTGGATCATAATCTATTTCTTCGATTTGGAACATTTGAAATTATTTTTTATCTAATATCCTTTGAGACTCTCATTAAAAGTTTTTGTCATGGCAAAAAGTCTAAAATATAACAAATAATAGATGAGAATAAATTTTATACCTTAGTCATACAATAAAATAAAGAAAATTGAAAAAAATGTGATATTTTATTAACCTGAAAAGCTTTAGCTAAAAACAAATTGGATGTTCTGGTTTCCACTCGATATTCCGTAAGGAATTTGGAGCTATATTTAGCTCTAATAAAAAGAGATTATGTAATGACGTGCTTGAATATTCTTTTCTCTTTAACAACGTTCATTCAATTAGCTTCATGCATTAAAAAATACAATACAAGATGAGAATCATAAAGAATTCAGTAAGGATCCGCTCATAAATGACGTCTACAGAAATTTGTATTTTTAGAACCCTATTCTTCCATGACATAAAGGTTTATTAAAAAAGAAATTTACTTTCGAAGAGTGGCACAAACCAATTCCAAATCTACAATTCTTAGAAATCTTAAGCCAACATTTTCTTAAAATTTATTTCTATCATTTTGTTTTTTTTTGATGCATAAAAGAAGAGAGAAGTCTACACTACATATCAACACTATTCTTTTTGAGATGTTTTGTCTATTGGTAACTTTATACAAAGTCATCATAAATAAAAGTTGTCTGGCATTAAAAAGAACAACACTCTTTTGACAAAAAGAGCTTTCTGTTTAAAGTTTATTTTCATTTTTCTCTCACTTCATTCATTTATATGGAAAAGTTCAAAACGAGAATAAAACAATACAAAATACTACAGGATGAAACGACATTTGCAGCATCCATGCGCATGTACTGATATACGCTATAGGACCTTGAATTGATTTTTCTTTCTTCCTTTCTTTTTTTTTTCTCAATAACACTTGTATACCAGAAAAAAGTAAAAGAAATGAAGGAATACAATGATGGAGCTATTAAGGAAAAGATTTGCACAGCGAAATGCTTTTAATTTCATTGTAATGCTCACAATCTTCATACTTTCTAAAACTTAGTAGTAGTAGTAATAGAACTAGCTTTTAAAGCTTTAAAAAACTTGAAAAGATCAACTATATGATTTTTAATTGAAATAAAATTTTAAAAAAATCTACGTGATGAATACACCCACTTTGTATTAATACAATCGTGCTCATCACCATAATCATCCCATTTCTTTCCTTTTCTCTCACACACGTTCATCTTCTTGCCAATGACGTTAGCAAGGTGAAGGAGGAAGGGTGAAGGTTTTACACATTATTTACAGAACATACCAAAAAAAAATTGATTACTCATTGAAAAGTAATTTGTGATAAATTTATTCTTCTTTTTTCGTAATTTCTGTTCATTGCTAATCGTCACGAAATAGACGAATGAAAAAATAATAAAGAAAATCTTACCAAGGAAAGCAGCTGGTGGAGTAATTGGAGATATATTGTCCCAACTGTTATTGAATTGATTTTCATTCTGCTCTAAGTTATAAATCTCTAACTTTTCCTTATCACATTGTCGACGTCTTCTTATGCTCGGTGCAAAACTTTTTAAAAACTTTACACCACTTAGATTACTTGTTGGTGATAATTTTATTTTACCACCCGTTTGCTTGGTCTTTGACATAATTGTAGTATTTTTTTATTATCAAATCTTTTTCAAATAACTTTATGAATCATATTTGACAAAGATTTCCCAATAACTTTGGATGAATCATTTGGAAAAATTAGTAATAAATGTTCACTTTTTTTTTCTTTTTGCAGACACGACACAATTTCAAACATATGAAAGTTAAAACAAAATGTTAGATGCTTAAACTTCTTTAAATCTCATGTTTTTTTTTTATGTTTCATTTTAAATAAAAGTAAATACAATTTTCACGAAAACTGAAGGAATAGAAAAAAAAAAAACAATTTTTCAACTCTAGACTGAAAAGTCCTTCAATCTATTGTTTTTCACGATAATAATAATAATAAGAGAAGAAAAAAAATCTCTTCTTTAAGAAGGGGAAAAAAGGTTCAAGAAAAAAATTTGGATATGAGTCAGTCAAAACTCAACGGGTGCAAAAATGTGACTGAACAGGACGAAGAACTTTAACAGAATCAAAAACAAAAATTGAGAGTGAGAGCAGATTCTATACGAAAAAGTGTATATATTAAGGAAAATTCCGATTCTATTTTCATTTTAAGGATTGTTATTGGTGTTGTTGCTTTTATCGCGAATGTTGTAAAAATAATTTGTAGAATGCTTCATGAAAATGAATGGATGTACATATATATTAGAGATATATTGAAATTAATACATTGAAAGGGAAAACAAAATCATTGCCTTTTTTTTACACATACAACTCAGACGAATAGCGCTTCACAAATCATGCAACACTAAGTTAAGCACCAAACATTCGGAAAATTTTGTTACGAAATGAATGTTTTTTGTCAGAAAAAGAAAGGGATAACTATATATTTCAATGTTTTTCAACAGGTTGCTTAATGCACGTTGGAGAGAGATGGAGAAAAAAAATCAAAGAATTTGAGAGGAAATAAAACAGTGAGAGTAAGCTGTGTAAAAATGTAATTGTTGAAACATTACTTGGATAATGTAACAACTTTCACACTGTGAAATTATTAACTTTTCATTTCCGATGCTAACGACAGAAAAAATAATAAGTGAACATCTTCAAACAAAAACCTTGACTTTGTCTTATTTCTTTGGACACGCACAATAAATTTGTACTTAGTTTTCTTTATACTAAAGTTAAAAATCATAAATAAAACCTCTTTCTTTACAGCTAAGACTTAAACTTTGAAATAAAATAATAAAACTCACCGCTAATATGAAATTTATCAACTATCATATCCTGTAACGTACCTGAAAATAAGAGAAAATGATGTAGACATATAGAACTAGTCTTAAAATCTATCATTCTTTTCTCCTTAAACCAAAGTGAAATTTTACTAAAACGAGGATCAACTGATATTTATTCCGAAAAATAAATTCTTTCTTATCTAAATTTTGTAAATAGTCGGACAAAATCATTTCATCAAGAAATATTAAATAAAGCAAACAAAATATAGAATGAGAAAATAATCTAATCTTTATATCGTTATATGTACATAACATACATCGAATTCCTTTAAGATTGATAAGGTTTTAATTTTTAATACTTGATATGTGATCAATTATAGTATGAACAGAATATTGTTTAAGAAAATTTATTGATCTGTTTATGGTCATTAATAGCATGTTGTGTGTCAAAACGTAGGTATAAAAAGTGATCTTTAAAACGAAAACAATGATTGCCCCAAGAACAAAGCAACTCAGTGTGTGCCAAATATTTTTTTGGCGGTAAACTTTTTTGCAGTATATTGATAAAAATATTTATTTTATTCAAAATGAAAACTCATGACTTTTGTAAGGCATCCAGAAAAGTCTTTTTAGGAGCATTTGAAAAAAAAAAACGATGAGATAGAGAATTTACCATCCACTGATTTTAACGAATAAGGAGTATCATAAGCAAAAAATTAAAAAATCTACAATGAAATTTTACAAGAATACAAATTTTGCATAAAATTAATTACCTTTAAAACAAGCACAGCCCATTATGTATCCCATCATCAGAATGCACTTTTTTTTTATTTTGTTTTATTCTGATATTATTATTAATTTGAATTATTTTATTTTTAACTACTTCATTTCAATTTTAAATCCTATTTTATTCGAAGTCATTGATCTCATATGTGGAGGTCTCGACTAGTCATGCAAATCCTTAAATTTTTGTCCACATTTGCATTTCATATTCATTCATGAATTTATTGCATGAATGACTTTAATTGTTACTATCACCATCATGTGATCACTATTTAAAAAAAATCTACTATGACAAATTGATTCATTAATATTACAGCAATTTAACAAGATTTTCACATATTGATCTCACTCATTCACAATATTATTAATTATTATATGGCTAATTTGAAATAATCTTGGAGGCTTTGTGTTTACATGAATGACAATATTGTCAAATTTAAACGCCGATATTCTTTTGAAATCGATTTTCATATTTTTGTTCACAAGAAGAAGAAAGATACACACATTTACTCGAAATATTCCGAAAAAGTACTGCTAAATTCTTTACGTTTATCATTAAATAGTTTATTTTTTAATGGCTACATAGCTTTATATTTCATACGTCAACAGATAATATCCGAATGCGAAAAAGGAGAAAACCATTATCGAAGAGTATATAAAATACACATATCACGTGTCACAACATTATTATACTTTTGATAAATACACAAAAGTTACTTAGAAAAAAAAATATAAATACACAACAAAAAAGCTTACGTAAACTTTCAGCATTTACTAATACTATTATTGAATATATTTTATCGTAAATGATACCTTTTTGAGTATTTAATTTAGTCATTAATTATTTTATTAAATTTGTTTAAAGCAAGCGATTCATAGTTTACGGTACTGTATTGTTGTATTCTAAGTTGATATTAAAGGGTTGATCAACTTTTGAAGACGAAGGGGATTCATTTGTTCCCATATATGAACATACAATGAGCATGCTCAGAAAAGTGAGCATATAAGTGAGTCTACTCAAAAATTATTCTCATGCAAGCTCATTCAACTAAGCATGCTGAGGAGTTCATTACAAATGTACTCACTTTATTTTTTGCAAAAAATTTATAAGCTCACGTTAGTACATTGAACGAATGTACTCATGAGAATATTAAGAACACACTTATGTGAATACACTCGTATAAGTGCACTTACTGAACATACTCATAAGAAAAATTAAGAACATACTCACTTCTGTGTGACATTTTCAAAAATGTCGACCAACTTAAAAGCGAACATTGAATATTTTAGAATATATGTAATACAAAAATGTCTACCATAAGAAATTTCCTAAAACTATGCTTTTTACAGTTTTAAGTTTTCTGAAATAAATGTCAAGAGTTTCTCAAGGAATTAAATTAAAAATTACTTTGCTTTTAAAAAACTATAAGAACTTAAAAAAAAAATTTCAAAAAATGTCGACTTGCATAAAAATGTATTTTCTGTTCGATTTTAAGTTGGTCGACATTTTTGAAAATGTCGACTTACATAAAAATGTATTCTAAGTTAGATTTTAAGTTGGTTGACATTTTTAAGAAATGTCGACTAATATAAAAATATATTCGTTGTTCGATTTTAAGTTGGTCGACATTTTTCATAATATGTTCTCACGATAGTGCTCTGATCAACTACAATATTTTATAAAAATATAGTTCATATAAGCAGCGTATCAAACTTCAAAGAACTTAGTTCGCCTGCAATAATATAATAATTTAAGTATTATATATTTACAGAAAATTGCTCAAAGGAAAAGTGTGAGGTGACAGAAGTTAAGCAACGCAATAGGTTTATCTACAAGGATGGGTGACCGGTTTTTAAAACTTCCTTCTTAAGTATTTGAGATAAAATTGTAATAATAATTTCTAGCTCTTCCAAAATTATTCACGGAATTATCCTTATAAAACTCAAATTTAACTTAATAAATTTTTTGAATTTTGTGACTTTAACTGATTGCACTCATGAGTGTGCTCAGATGAGCATATCATAAATAAACTCACTAAGCACATCTTTTGAGTATCTTCATGAGTATAAGCTCTTTGAGAATATTCATAAGTATGCTTTCCCGATGACGAAATCGAGACCGAGACTTCCCGGGAAGTCTCGGTCTCGATCTCGTCTCGGTCTCGAGAATTTTCCGAGACCGAGACCCGAGACTAGAGAAGAAAAGTATTTAAGTAAAAATGATAATTTTAGAATTTTTCCCATCACAGTTTGTAGTTAATCTTACAATTAGGGTAAATGACCTTGAAATTTGCGCATTTTCACACATGAAACTTTCATTTGCTTCAATCTCTTCGGAGGTATGGGATTTTTTCTCTTTTTGTATGGGATTTTTCGGGTGCAAATTATTGAGCTTCCTAATGGTTTAATATCACTAAAAACGATGCAAAAACATCTGCGCTGGTGTTCTACAAACATTTCCCATTGATCGTCTGAACAGAAGTGACATTTTTACATATAATTTTAAAATTTTCGTTTTCATACGAGTGCGCAAATTTCAAGGTTGCGCAAATTTCAAAGTCATTTACCCTATCCAATTTTTGTGAATAAATATCAATAATAAATTAATTATTAGTAAAAGTTTTAAGCAGTTTTTAAAATGTATTAATATTTCAACGTAAAACCTGAATTTAAAATAAAAACTCCTATAATTTTTCATAGTTTGAAACTAAATTTACCGTTATCGAACTTATTGACATTTTCACAAAAAAAAGAATAGTTTTAATAGGGACACACTTATCATTATGCTTTTCTTTTATCATTACGTATTTCGTATTTCTATTATATTTTATATTAGTATTAAGACAATAAAATTAGTTTGACTGACCGCATAACAAGGAATATATCCAGAAGTTCAATAACAAATAGACGTAATTTACATGTTCAAAGTGTTTTTTAATTACTTTCAGCGAAATTTTAAGTAGTTTTTAAAGTCGAGACTTCCCGGGAATTCCCGGGAAGTCTCGGTCTCGGTCTCGGTCTCGAGAATTTGTCGAGACCGAGAAATCGAGAAAGCTTATTCATAAGTATATTCAATAAAAAATGTTTCGTATGGCATGTTGCCTTCTCATTTGAGGATGCTCATGAGTTTACTCAGTGAGCTTAATGCATGTCACATAGGAATGTGCTCACTGAGAATACTCAAAAAAGCTCACAAATAATGTGATCTGAGTATACTCATTGTATGTTCGGTATACATACGAAACCTTAATATTTTTAAGAACATCATATATCACAAACACAAACGATTCGAGCAAGCACAGATAATGATAATTGCATGATTCACTGTCATCAATTGTCAATTGTGTCATCAAAGGATCAGGATAATTCTGCAATAATAGCGTTTACTTTTTAATTTCGTACTGCTTCACCTAGAATTCTATACACAACATTTCTCCTTTTTCCCATTTGTTTGTATAAACAAAAGGAAAGAAAACATAGAAATGGGTAAAAAATCAATATTACGTTCTTTTTCAGCCGTTTGCTCGAAATATGTATGTACTGTACTAGTCTAACATAAACAATTTATTATTTTTATTTAGCTTTACTCTTGTGACATTTTTTTAAACGTGTTTTCAGAGGTCAAACCTTCACACACAACCAGAACTAAAACTCTTCTGCCATTTACCTAATGACAAAAAATGTTATGACAAAAATTACTTTAATAAATATTATGGACTTATTATTTATTATGACAATCATTGTAGCTATTAATGGACAACATAACTATTATTTAGTTCTTCTTATGTCATATTGTGCAAAACTTATTATAGCTAAATACGTCATTCTTTTCCACTACTCAGTAAGTACAAAGAAGACATTAGAAGTGCCGGATTGAAATAATATAAATTGAGACAATGTTTAGATTTTATTTTAAATTATTGGATGCATTTTTGATTTTAATTAAAGTGTCTAGAGCAATTGAACTTTATTTCCTTTGTCAAGTAACTATTCTCATAAGTTTTTGAACTACAATCTTTAAAATAAACTTCTTTTTATTGAATTGCACTTAAGGAATTTTTCTTGCTTTGATGAAGGTTTTAAATATATGATGTTTGCAGAAAAAAAAGACGATTCATAAGTTGGCAATCGCGATTGCTGCCCATAAATCTGTGAATCTTAAAAATTGTCACACTTTTACAAGTTTGCAAATAGCACCTTGTTTTCACATTCAAAAAAATTTCTCACTTAGCGATGAAATAAAAACTTTTCAAATATTTAAGCATGAAATTTTCTTTCTTCTTCTTATGTACTGTTTTTTTTTTTCAATTCCTGCAGATACATTTTCATTCAAGTACATATGGCACTAATATAAATCAATTGATCATGTTAGATAAAAGAATATTAATTAATTATTATTTGAGGAATAAAAATGTAGAGAATAATTTACAGTCAATCAATGAATGAAGCAAATGTGTAACTGAAAAATATTATCAATTATTTTTATTTTACTTTTTTTTTTGTATTAAAACTGAATTTATGTATGTATACATACATGGCGGCACTAAATTTTTTATACAATTCATTTGATGATTTTTTTATATATCATATATCTCTATAGAAATACATACATTTATGTATGTTTGAGAAGAGTGCACAGATAAATTAACACACAGTGGTGACTATTGTATTTGTTTTCATAAAAAAGATGAAAAATATGATTTCCTCTTACAAATAATTATTTATGGGTTTTTGCTTCAATTAATAACTTCTGTTTTAGATTCGTTTTTAATTACTCTTTTACCGCAGTCCAGTCACAAAAGTCACACAAAAACGCTTAGATTATTAAACCCAAAAAAATTTCTTGTATGTTTCTCAATTTTTCTTTTAAAAATGAATCAAACTTTTTAAATATGTTACACAAAGACTCAATTTATTTATATAATAAATGGATGACTTTATTCTCTACAGCTTATACAATTCAATTTGAATACGTTAAACTGACCTACACGTTAATTTATATTTAATTGAATGAATTTTTTTATATCCTAAGCCTCCTCACTAGGCAAAAGAAATCGCAAAATAGTAGTTTAGTTTTTTGTTTGTTGTTGTTGCTTTATTTTGGGGAAAATATTTCCCACTCATGCGCATAAGAAATGCTTTCCTGTTTCTTAACTCAGCTCTGGCAACACACAATGTGTCGCTTTATTTTTGTACGTTAATGTAAAAGAAACCGAAAAACACAAGATGTGACCAGAAGAGAAAAACTCTATTATATTTCGGTATTTCTATATACATGCTATATAATCCTTTTACTATGAATAATTTTCATCAAATTTCAAAAAATGATTTCATTCTGCACACGTGAATCAAGAAAAACATTTCAAATGAATTTTTCCTACATTTTCATTATAATAACAGTATGAAATTCAATTTTTTTCCTACGTGATTTTACTGAATGTAATTCATTAAACATTTTTATTTATTTTTAATTGACAAAACTGGACAAAACAACGTAAAACTAGTAGATTTTTGAATTAAGATGTCTGTGATACAGGTTTTAATTCAAGAACAATTAAATCATAAATTAGACGAGTCCTAAAAGAGTAAATTCACACTTATTGGATCTCTTCATTAAACAACAATATTGAAAAAAAAATCAGATGTTGAACTTTCAAGGAGCTTAACATTTTTTTTTTGTTTCCGTTTAATTTTATAATAGCAATTCTATTATCGTGACTCAAATATTGGCTTCTGAAATTTACCAATACAAGCGTCATTTGAGTATTTATTTTGAATTGCTTTATCATTCACAGAGTGTGTAATTAAAAGTTAATTTTGCATGCAAACAGATCGCTTAATTTGGGGCAATAATTTAATTAACCTTTATGAGCTGAATGTGAATTGATATTTTCATATAATACAGTTCTTAATATTTCTTAAATTTAAGACAAAGAAATATTAAAAAGGAGACCCTTTCAATAAATATACGTCATAAGGAACTTGTTCCTTTTTGAAAATTAAAAATTATGGGTTTAAAATACAACATTGTCGTGGGAGGATGGAAAAAGGTCATGTCTACCTTCATATCAAAGCGAGTATAAAATTTCACATGAACATATTTCATGCTCATATTAAAGGAGGAAAAAAGAAGATATTTATGGATCAAAATTTTTCACTCACCCATATTGTTATGTGCAAAATGCTTTTGCAACTGTTGTTGGAGGGCTTGATGATGTGCAGCTAGCGGTGTATGCGGAGTTTGTTGTAATGTAGCATGACCAATTTGATGTGCTGATTGAGAATGTGATACGATAAGACTTCCATTTAGATTGTTTATCAGTGGACCACTTGTAACATTGTTCTGATTGTTATTGCTAACATTCATCGGTGATATTAAATTGTGCGCCGATTGAGATGAAGGCACAGCACTGATTGATGATGAAGTATTGGATATCATACTGGTTGGGGAATTTATTAGGACGGCAGAATTTGCTGGACTTGTTATTTGATCATCTACTTTCGATAAGCATTCGAATGATTTGTGTTGAAGTAGCAAATAAGAAAGGAAACAAGAAAACATGAAAAATCGATTAATTTAAAAATTATCCTGAGTGAGTAATGAAATAGAAGACTTAAAAGCTTTTACAAATCTTAAGCTTTCCACTTTCATCATTATTCATGAAACTCATAATATATTTGATATTTTTTCATAAAGTTGTTCTAAGCCTAACAACGATATTTTTTACATTATTAAATTATAAATGGTGAGAATGCAAAATGATAATTTATTTACGACAGAGCATTTCAGCATGCAATAAGGATAATGATGAAACATAACATTAAATAATTTAAAAAATCATTTAGGGTGTCGAAGAAGAACCGAACAAAATTGCCGAAAGAATATTTGATTAGAATAAAATTGGAGCTATGTATATTTAAGCCTCATTTGATGTGGGTGTAACATTGCATAATTTTGATTGATAGACTCCCCTAAACTGTTTATTGAGTATGTGAATAATCTTCTTTTTATCATATTTATTACCTGGCTCCGGAATCGTAGATAATGTGCTTTCGGGCAGTAATATACCTCTTTCAATTAATTCTTCACGATTGGCACGTACAGAGATTTTACGTTCGAGGGCTAGAAATTCAACAATTAACTTAATGTGAGCAAATAACATTTAACAACATAAAAAAAAAAAAAAAAAAAAAAATCATAAGCTTCTGAAATAGCTTCAAAAAGTCAAATGAGAACCATAAATCATATTTTAATAAAGCAGAATTCACACCCACATAAAATTCATCGTTTTTATATTCTTTATTAATGATGATAAGGACGTTCAATAAGTACAGACAGACGGCAATAATATTAGTAAATTATGTATAGTGTCCCATAAAAATCATATTAAAATTTAAAGTGATTAAGAATTAATCTGTTCGATCGAGACACATGTTATGAGAGTGGTCAGTTTTCTGAAACTCCGTTTTTGGTTCAATAATAACAACTTAAAAGTGGTTCAAAAACACATTATAAAATTTTTGAGTTAATCATAAGTCCCAAAAAATGAGTTTAAAAACCAAAGTTAATGAAACCATCGAAACATTAATGTAATGAAACATTTAAGATCAACAAGTGTGATAGTTTTATTAAAACGATTAATGAAATGTTAAGTAACATATGTAGAGATTCCAAGAATTTCGAGGAAAAACTAGAACAAATATAAAAAAAATCTTTTAATATCCTCGAAAAATTGGAAACTCTAGAAAATGTGTCATTAATTTTGTGTGACATACTGTTGTGGTTAATTTTAATCATGATATTTCAATTATTAATCATTAAGAGAATCAAGCTATAATAGTGAATTATTGTAAATATTAATGTGAAGCTTGCGTTAAATTTTTACGATATAGTGCGAGATGTCTATATAGTATAAAGACATAGCAAAAAGTACTTACATTTTGATGCCTGCTCAAATTTTTCACTTTTCTTTTTTCTCCTCCATTTCCATGGCTTGAAAAGTCTCCCCAGAGCACTAAATTTGCTTTTCCGCTCTAACGGTGGGGTTCTCGTGCCTGTATTTAAACTAGTTGTCCGTAATGTGGTTGTGCCATTATGCTTTTTAACTAAAACAAAATCGAAGAAAGAATTTTATACAAAAATTTTCTATTAAAATTAATAAGTATAAGTCATCAACTTTGAATAATTAGCTTTCACATAAAAATTCCTTTTATATACAATTTAACGTATCGTAAAAATTATATAAAGGTAATAATAATATTACGCGGTAGGTAGTAAATAAATCATTAACAGCAATTTTGTAAAAGACTATGTGCGATTAAAAAAAAAATCGATTAATGAGTTTGGAACTATCAACAAGTTAAATCAACAAAAGCGATGAGTAGGAAACCCACTCATAAATATTAGTCAACAGCAAATTAGAACGCAATAATCAAGTTAATGACAATTTAATAAATAAAACTATTTCAAATGAGAAAATATTAATTGATTAGAATTCCTTCTCAATTTCCCAGTCCCGTTTCTTTTAGCCTGTTTTTCCTCACTAGGCACTAAGAAGATTTGAAGAGTTTAACAAAGATTACAACCCTTCTTTTATAGATATAAAGTTTACAAACGACTCTAAAGTTGATGCATTTGATTAGCACAACTTATAAATAAAATCAAAATGTTGTTTTGTATTCAATCGTAATAAAAAAGCTGCTGGTGGAGTAAAAGTTATAAAAACGTATTTGGTCGTTACCTATTACAGTACTTGCTTCTTTTGCAGCTTGTGCAACAGCTGGACCAACCTGAAGAATGTCACTCAATGACAGAGATGAGGCTATAAGTTGTCGTTTTTCTTCAAAATTTAAATAGTCAAGAGAATTACTGCGTTGTGGCGTCACTGTTATCGTAACAGATTTTTGCATAGTCAGTACACTTTGCTGTTGATATTCATGTTGTTTCATCGTATCATCATTCACATTATTATTTATCAACGACATGTTGAATGTCGTCTGAATGTGTTGATGATGATCAATCAATCAAGCACTCTGTGCCTCTTCTAATTCAATTAAATTCAGTTTCTCTCTTAGTCTGCTCACTCTTTTTACAATAATAATTGATCACGTATATAAAAACACTGTTTTTTCTTTTCTTCCTTTTCCTTTTTAAATTTTCTTTTGGCTTCATAAACATTTGTTATGTCTCTAGCACTAAAATCTTATTTTGCACATCTTAATCATTTTTTTATAATATAAATTTATAACTTGTATAAAAAGATAAGAACTCCATTTATCAAAAATGTCCATGACTTATATTAAATAGTTAATTTTAGTAGAAAAAAGGTTGGATATCCGATAAATTGTCAACATTTGTGTTTTTCAAAATTGGCTTCGACGGAATAAGAGTTTCTTACAGATATCATAGGTTGAATTTCTTTTAAAAATATTTTCTTTACTTCATTTTTTCATGACTTTTTTTTTTATCTTTTGGCACTAACTGCAAAAAAATATTTCATCAAGAAAATGTATACAATGTGCTTCTCAGTATTCATTTTCTTTTCTTTCGCAAAATTGATATTAATTCTGCACATAAATTTTGATGTTTTTCAAACGTAAAAAGTAAAAGAAAATAAGATGTTGCACAGGAAGAATAAGCATAATTCGTCAAAGTAAATTCAAGAAGAAAAAATAAATAAATGCAATATCGATATGTAATTTTCAGCCTCATAGACTTTTTTGCGCTCTCTAATGTATATATATGTTTTATATATTGCATTACATTTAAGATGGAAATATGAAAACTAAGTTGAGTACATACAACACTCAGACTGTATGACCTATAAAACGATGAAATGCTCATTTGGTTGCTCTCGCTTTTTTTTAACAGCATTCGTATTATTTGCGAATACATTTTGTCTAATTGAATAATTGGAAGCATGAAAATTCAAAATACTTTAATGTTATACATTTAATGATTATTTTTTGAAAGTTATTCCTAATACTTTCTTCGAAATTTTATTTGAGTCATAACTTTTCGACTGAGATTTAAAATTTCCTAATTGAAAACAGCCATTGGCGTATCATTTCTCAATCATTCTACAAGTTGTTCCAAATGTACATTTCTAGATAAATGAGGATTTAAATTTTAATTTTCATGGGACTTGAAAAGCGTTTACGCCTCGAATTAATATGAATTAAGACTAATCTTGCCATTATTACTACTCATAACTTTTTATAAAAATTCGAAATTTTTCCCATATCTGACAGTTTACTGTTTTTGTAGTCAAAGTCTCATAATGAGACTGTGTTTCCTTTACATCACACTTCTCATTTGAAGTTAAAAATTCATCATTAAAATTGTAATGGAATTAAAATAAAACGTTTAAAGCATGTACATTTTTTAATGTAGGCAAATAGGTACACACTCTATTGTCTCGAATCATTATATATTACTACTATTTCTTATGCCTTTAGTGATTTAAAAAAAATTAACAATTGCACTAGTGTTGTTGCTGTCATAAAGCATACATGTGTGTATGAGAGAGATAATTTAAAAAATAATAATTCACCTTTTTCTGCTCTTTATTATTTTGCATTTTCTTCTTAGTTTCTTCTCAGATGATTACTTATCCATAGAAATGGGAATTAGCAAATTGAGTTATGATTGACTAGAGCGCACAAGTGTAATGTTGAAAAAAATTGATAGAACGGTCCATTAGATATAAGAGTCTAGCGATCCATCATTCGAAAAATGCAAATAGTATCAAACTGTTCATGGTGACATGAAATAAAATAGCACTCGGTCATCCACGCAATTAATTTATTTTTAAACAAGACGGCAGCTAGAAAGAAAATGCATGAAATTGGAAGTAATCATTTTCTCTCGCAAAATTAGTCCTAATTTGTGATGTAAAATATGTTTAATCTGATGATGATTTCATATCTATTGTACAATTCAATAAAAATTAAATGAGAAGAAATAAGATAGATGCACTTGTCGCTTCTCTTTGTATGATGAGTTTATTTTTATTATGATAGAAGACTTTTTTTTATTTTAGGGAATTTAAATAGAGCTCAGGTAAACATTCTCTCGATTATTTCATACATACAAAAATCTTTTGTATCATATGTAGACTTCATCTCTCTCTCACACTCATTTACGCCCCTAACAGAAAATATTTGAAGGAATTTGACTCTATATGTAAATAATTAAATAAGTCCACAGAACATTGCAATTTAGAGAGACTCTTTTTGCGAGTAATTATCATAGAAATTATGCTTGTTTTAATGAACGTAATTGTGGACCTAATTGAACGAAAAAAATTGTGTTCAATTTGGGCAAGATAAATACTGATAATATTAACAACAATGGCAATAAATTAACTTTATCACATTAGAATGAATAAATATTATTGTACGATGATAAGATAAATTTTTCCACAATTTTCCTCTTGAATTTCTCTTTCACAGAATCATTTTTTTCGCGAGTAATTTATTTTCAATTAAATTGATTAATTTTTCTTATTATCCTGTGCACATCACTTATATGCTTTCAGTATTCAAATAACAACATAATTTAACACTATTTTAGGAACCAAAAAATAAAGAAGTTGTGCAGAAAACACCATTATCATCAACAATAAATCTTTCTGTTGAACAAACTTTTGCTATTTTGACACCAACACTTGAATTTCCAGCTCAATATCAATATTAGGATGAATTCTTAGATCTTTAAAACGTTAAAACTACATTTTACTACATGATTAATCAATTAGAAACATTTATTTTATAAGAAATAAATAAAATTTAACTTTTCAGATTATTTCAGGGCTTGCTACTGACTATTCGGATTAATATTTTTGTACGAATAGTACTTATTTCAAAATAACCGTTAAATCATCGGCATGATTCATAACAGCTTTTGCTGCTATAGACAATTTGTCGATATCAGTCGATATATATTTAAGATAATTTTATGTGAATGCTCTATATTTTACTTCTAAATGTTTGTCAATTCCAAGCCATACAAAGAACATACTAAGATATGCTCATAAAAAATGTCCTCTGCATGCTCCTTGTATGTTTGGGACAAGATGAAATAAACTTTGTTCTCACCTTCATCGTAGATTTCACCTAAAATTTCATAAAAATGAATATAGAGATAGAATTTAGAATAAGTTTATTCAAATTTCCGTTTTTTATTGGAAGCAAAAGCTTTACATAAATCATATTGTTTGCGACATGTACATTTTAAGCTATGAAGATCCTTTTTATTTAAATACTTGAGAATCTTGACTAGAACACAATCGGGCAATCCATTAAGCCACGGACACGACAGTACTGCACAATCATCGTACATTTGATTTCGGATGGGTATGAATAAATTTTCTTTTAACAAAACCGACAATTCCTTTAAGTTTCTAAATGAATTTGGCACATGATCACATAATTTCTTGAACGGTACATATCTCGATATCGGAAGTGTAATGGATTTACTCTGCACGAAATGTGTTTTGTCAAGATCCTTTAATTCATAGATGCTCAATAGTGCAAAGTCGCCACTCTCCAAAGAATTTAATACAATCTTGCGACTTTGTTCCAGTGTGAATTTGAATGTTAATTGAAGCAGATTATTATTAATGCAGATATCTTTTGGAAATGTGCAGTGCTCCAATATTCTTTGATTAAAAGCCGAACACCAGCTTAATGTATAGTTTGATAAATCAATCTGACACCAATCACCAATTAATGAACTCTCATAAGCAGAATATAATACAATACAATTTAGCAGCGTAAATTGAGTGTAATTTTGAGTACTGGCCACTCTAAGGATATTATACAGCTGATCAGGAATTTTGTCAAGTGTTGCCAAATCTAATGTAATGATTTTATCGTCTACAATTAAAGCCAAACAGAGATAATGAACATACACGAAAGAAATGAAAGTAAGATACGATATGATAAAAAAATGTACTACTTAAAGCAGCGATTCTCAAACTATGTGTTATGGATCTAAAGTTGTCTTGTTGAAAATCCTTTTTGCAAGTTCATCCATGTCAATCAAATGAAATTTCATTTTTCTATCTTAATTTTTTTTAAATTAAAGTCATATGGAACATATTGTTTGAGAATTACTGCTTTAAAGCCTTAATGAACTGTACTGCAGTTTTATCTAATCTTTCTATTTTTTGTTATTGTAAAATGATGAGTTATGGCATTAAAAAAAAGATGACTAAAAGTGACTAGAAAAGAGAAGAAATAAAAAATCAACTCACGTTGGTTTTCCAGTTCTTTTTGAATGAATTTCTGTGTTACTTCTATGTCCTTATCCTTAGTATCTATTTGCTGCTGACTGGTGCCCATTATTTTATATTAAATACAGTATTAAACTCAATAAAACTTAAAATTTTAATTTTTGTACGAAAATAAATACAGGGATTGTTCATTAATGACGGTAAACTTTTTGACAAAGAGATGAGGGGAAGTCTATGAATGAAAAATTTTTATAGACATCAATTTTCATCAACCCGTTTTTTGTGGATCATAAAACTGCTTTAAACGTACTTGTCTTCAAGGGAAATAGCCCATAATTCCCCGCAATAAAATCAAAATATTTTCCAAACGATGAGAATCAAACTAGTTATTTCCTTATTCTTACTTAATTCATTTAGATTTATTGAAAGTGATGATACAACAAATCGTGGATTGAGCTGGTATGAAAGTCTTCCGGCTGTCGCTATGGACTATAAAGTGCATATTGATGCAGGTTTGTTTTTGTCATAATGTTCAAAATATGTCTTTTCATAATTTTATTTCCTTAATTAACTTAATGTATTTGGATCTGAAGGAAAGGAAGACTGTTTTTATCAATATGTTGCAAGTGGTGCTACATTCTATGTCTCGATGCAGGTGATTTCTTTTGAATTTTCATTTATTCAACAGTTGATTTTGTTGACGTCATAATATTCAACATCCAATTCCTTCACAGTTTTTGCTTAAGTGAAAGTTTCATGCTCATAGGATTACTAAAAAATTTCTTCATAGGTAATTCGTGGAGGGGATGGAATGGCTGGATTTGCTGTTAAGCATCCAAGTGGACAAATCGTTCATCCATACCAATGGCAAGCAAATTCAGATTACACAGATGGGCAATCAACAGGCAAAGAGAATAACATATGATAAGATAAGAAAAGAGTTTAAATCTGACACATATTTTTCAGGTGGATATTATTCTGTCTGCATTGACAACCAGTTTTCAAGATTCGCTGGAAAGCTTGTGAATTTGTATATAACTGTCGTGAAATATGATGACTGGGAAAGGTTCACAAAAGAGATCGAAGATCTCAATCTTAACATGCAAAATTTTACGCAAGTAGTGCAGACAGTAGAAACAAATTTAAATGTCATGTAAGCTTTTTTGTGCAATTGCTTCATCGGCAAAAATTTACCGATTTATAAAAAAATTATATATATTTTAGGTCTCAATATCAAGCAAATTCAAGAGCGAGAGAAGCTAGAGATTACGCTCTTATTAGAGACAATAATTCATATGTTGGAACATGGTCTATTGTGCAAATTTTTGTGATTGTCGTAACAACGACTGTTCAAGTGTATTTTGTTAGGAAGCTTTTTGATATTAAATCAAGTGGATATTCAAGGAGTCGAATATAAACTTTAGGTATTTTCAATATAAATGATTAAAGCAATTTTAATCAAATTCCAGAATGAAAGAATTAATTGCTTTAACGACATCCATAAGCACACTTCCAATTTAAAATAATACTTTAGTTTCAAAAATACTTCTTTTTCATTTTTGCAAAGTTACATGTTACATGTGCTCTCGATTTCTGATGATTTTGATCTTTGGAATTTCGTATGGGTTTTTAAAACAGTTAAGTTCTTTCAAATAATTATATTTATCAACGATCGGATTATGTACTAAATAACGAACAAATAATAGCATAAACGAGCAGCATTCCTTAAAAAGAGAATTATTTTTGTCAATTTTGTTAAAGAAAGGCACACATTAATAAAATTATAAAAGTTTATATAAAAAATCTAAACCTAATTGTGTTCTTGAACATTTTTTTTTTCGTTTTATTATTTTCTTCCTTTTCATTATATCTTTAAATCTAGTATTTCTTCATCAATTTGTGACAATAATAAAATAAACAAAGCTTTTTGGCCATAATTTGGAAGCAATTCATAAGAAACAAATTGTTATCATGATGTTTTTGATGCCCGAAAAGTTTGTTCGTGTTTAAATATTTTTTTATTTTTATACTTCCTCGCTTACTGAACTTATTATCATCAATCAATAAAAGCAATATATTTGATGCTTTCATTTATAACTTTCCTCTTTTTCCACATTTTAAAAAAAATTATAGAAATTTCTCGTCATCTCTTCTTAATATTCAGTTACTAATTTTATGTTATGTTGCTTTAAATAGAATTGCTTATAATATTGAATCATGTGTTTTGATGAGGATGTTTTAACATTAAATTATGCTGATAGGGTGAATTTTTCATTATGTTATATGACTCAAAACTATCTAGAGTTGGAAAACCTGCATATATGTATATATTTGCGCGTGAAATGTTAAATTTAAAAAAAAAAATCATTAGCATGAGTATAAACAAGTCTAATTAAATTAGGTTCACTGATACTCCAAAGTATCGTAATGCATCCAAGATTGGAAAATCATTAAAGTTAAAATTAATTTTTTTTTCTATTTTGCTTAAAGTTGATAGTAATTAATGCAAAGATTAATATTTGAATTCATAAATTTTCCATTGGGAATTAAACACTTTTTCAGAAGTTATTAACAACAATTTAGGGTATTTGTTAGAGTATACTCTGCATTATTTGCAGACCATTCCAACTCTAGCAATTAATTATTCGATATTACATTTTCTCATCTTCTGCTTAAATATTATTAGTATTAAGAGAAAACAAAATGTAATGAAATAAAAAATAAGGAAAACTGGCACAAAAAACAGCTTTCGTTCAATTTTAAACTTTTCATTCTTTTTAAGATGTGTTTTTTTTTTATATTCACACCGTTTTCACGTGTGAATCTATTGGTTTTGTTCAGATTGAAAAATCAGTTTTTCGCATTTTGTGAAAAAACAAAGCAAAATTGGTTATAAAAGGGCAAGAATAAAAGTTTGTGCCTGAAATTTTACATCATTTTCAAAAAACAGATTTCAAATTGGTTGTGGCATTGCTGAGAAAATCGCAAAATACGCTTTCTGTAAGCAAACAAGCAAGCAAGCAAGCAAGTTAATCAGCAAGAAATCTCAATAACGAGACATCGTAGAGACTTTTAGTTTTTTACATTTGATCCGTGCTGCTCTATAGAAGAGCTGTATTGTTTTTGGGCAAGGTAGGAACGGCCGTTGCTTCAGAAATGGCAAAAAACTTTCCTTTCTTACGAATTTTTTAAAACAAAAGTTGACTGTGATTTTTATAAAATTCAACTTTGGATGAAAATTTTTTTTAAAAAACTTTTAAAGAATATTTGGCATATTCGTCAAGCTTTATATCTTCAAACTTATGCTGAGCGTAGCTCAGCTGACTCGATAGCTTTATATCTTCAAACTTATGCTGAGCGTAGCTCAGCTTACGCGATAGCTTTATAACTTCAAACTTATGCTGAGCGAAGCTCAGCTGCCTCTCTAGCTTCATATCTTCAAACTTATGCTGAGCGTAGCTCAGCTGACACTCTAGCTTTATATCTTCAAACTTATGCTGAGCGTAGCTGACACTCAGCTGACACTCTAGCTTTATATCTTCAAACTTATGCTGAGCGTAGCTCAGTTTACGCGATAGCTTTATAACTTCAAACTTATGCTGAGCGAAGCTCAGCTGCCTCTCTAGCTTCATATCTTCAAACTTATGCTGAGCGTAGCTCAGCTGACACTCTAGCTTTATATCTTCAAACTTATGCTGAGCGAAGCTCAGTTGCCTCTCTAGCTTCATATCTTCAAACTTATGCTGAGCGTAGCTCAGCTTACGCGATAGCTTTATAACTTCAAACTTATGCTGAGCGAAGCTTAGTTGACTTATCAAGCTTCATACCTTCATACTTATGATGGGCAAATCTTGGTCTATCCATAAGACTTATGATAGTACGGTGTGAATATAATCCGCATTGGGTTTCTACCCGATACACTAGTTATCTTTTAAATTCAATGATCAAAAGTTCTACGTACGTATCAATTTAATTATTATAAAAAATATACTTTAGTAACATAATTTTGCTGTCTCTGCTTAAAAACTTTATGCGAAAACAATGCAAGATTATCAAATGAATAGAATTTTGAAGCATAAAGAGTCATCTGACCATTTTATACTGCAATCTATGACCTTGTTTTCAATTGACTGTTGCATGGCAAAACATAAAATAATAATAATTATTATTTCTCGTACAAAATAAACCTTTTAAAGGTATATTGAAGGGTTGTGTCTGAGGAATTGTCTATTACAACCGAAAATATAAAGAAAACGAAAACCGGCCATAGATTAAAGGAACAAAATTTTTTTTATGAATGTAACTAATTACAGCATTGATCTAGGGATCCGTACTTTGTGAAGGTTTATCAGAAGACGTGCCAGCTCCCACATCCTCTACAAAAGCTGTTTCATCATTATCTAATTCATCGTTTGAATCCTCAATGCTTCCACCTCCAGCAGCTTCACCGATTTCATCGTCTAATAAATTTTCCTCAATTTCCTCTTCAATTAGTTTTCGTGCAAGCTTGATTGCACTAGCTTCATTATAATGCAATTTACGTCGTTTCTCGAATTCTATTCGTTTCACACGCTGGTCATCAGTTTCTGGCAATTCCTCATCGGATTCTTCACAATGTAATGATGCTCGACGTTGAGTTTCTTGGGCGACTTTCAATTTTTCAGATAATACAGTAGCATCCAATTCATCCTGTTCAGCTAATCCTGGGTCTAAGTAGTTGAAGGGCGTTTTAGGCTCGTCAACCCTCATGTGCTACAAACAAAAAAAAATTATGAATTTAACAAGAACTTACTTTTTTTTTGTTCTACAACTTACTCCATAATCTTTATTTGGTGGATGATAAGTTTGCAATACATTTATCTCATCGAATTTTGCTGATTTCCGATTACTGCCGCTTTGAGGAAGAATAAATTTACCTAGAACAAACTTAATCACAAGAAAAATTGTATTTCTACATACCTAGCACCGAATTGTTTGTCAAAACTAGACGATTTTAAGATTCCCTCTATAGAATGGTATTGAATTAAAAAAATAAATAATGTAAGAAGTATCAAAAAACGAATCTTGAAGGTTTGTATTTTCCGATCAATTTTTTTTAAAACGAAAAGACAGGAGGTCTAAATAAGATGGTTTAGATCTTTCCTGTCAAGATTCGCTCCAAAATTGATGCAAAAGTAGTGTTCTAAATGCATTTGTTCCCTATTTAAATTTGAACAAATTCATGAATAGCACCAAGTTCTACAGATTGATTGAGATTGCGTGACTAACCAGCCAGTTCAGATATGGTAAGGAAATTTTGAGGGAAATAATGCGTACGACTATTATATGACTTACTGCATGGCTTTTTGGCATTAGGACTTTCCGAATAACTAGGAGGTGATGACATTTTCGTGCTTTGCTTTCTTTTTTTAAACTATTCGACCAAAAAAGGTGAATATTAAATGAGAAAAATTTATTGGAAATCGATAGCAATCGTCGCTGTAATCCTTGTTGATATTTTTTTCGTGTGTATATAATATATAATCCAGTGAATCTAAAATGAAAAGTAAATAAATTCATTTATTCGCACTGTATACCTTACATGATAATATTTTGTAAGCTATTGTGTATAAATAGCTCATCATTTCCTAATAAAGCTACTTAAATAAATAAATAAAATGTAGGGAAAATTGAGTTGCAATGAACAAAAAGAAAAATATTGAAGCTTCACGAAATTCCTTATCAATATCGCGAAAAGACGAGTATTTTTGTATATCTTTACTTACATACGAAAGAAATGCTACTCTTTCTTATCACTGTTATTACAAACGTTCATGATATTAACAAGAAACTTGCGATAATTAATTTTTTTAATTTTCCAATTTTTTCGGCAATTCTTTACTCCTACTGAACACACTCTATCTTTTTAAACTCAAATTAGCCGTTATTTATTGTTTTCCTTTCACCAAATTTTAGAGATATTTACATTTGTGATACAATGGTCCTTGAAAGGATATTTAAACAAACGTATACGCAAAAGTATTATCAAATGCTATAGTTCCAGACATTGTTAATATAATTAATTAAAACATTGTGAATGAATTTCCCATAGAACATAGTTTATAAAAGCTGTTTTCGATAAAGGTTGTGGAGCTGAAATATCAAAGATTTAAGGAAATCGACAAAACACATGACTTATATTAATTCTGATTATCGCACATCTTCATGCTTTATTCATTTATTTTATTTTCACAATTCACGAGAATGTACAATAAGCAAGAACAATTTGATGGAAAAGTATCTTAATGGAAAGAAGTATAATTCAAATATATCCATCAATTTACTTCTTTGTTAATTGGCCAACCTTTGCTTTCTTGGTACCACGGACTTTCTTCATTCTGTTCTTACGTTCTTTACGTTGTTTGCGTGTAATCTTCTTGACTTCATAAAGTCCATGACGAGCCAATCTATGTTTTGGTTCAAATTTCTTTGCAAAATCTAATGTGTCGTAGATTAATGCAAATCCTGTTGATTTGCTGCCTCCAAAGTTGGTTTTGAAGCCAAAAACAAAGACAACATCAGGTGTAACTTTGTACATTGTAGCCAATTTTTCGCGAACTTCCTTCTTTGCAATTGATGGTAATCCTGGATGAAGAACATCGCATACCATTTGTTTGCGACATAAGAGACGATTTGTCATAAACTTTCTTGTACGAATGGTTGCAGTCGTCATCTAAAATGACAAAAAACAATAGTAATAAGTATCTAAATGCTTAAAAATGTTAACAAAAACAATATTATCGTCTTGTACACATAACCTTTAAGAGAGTTTTGAGTAACAAGAAATAATTTTTCAGATATTAACTCAAATTTAACACTTTTCAAATGATTTTTTGCATTTTCAGGTGCACACTATCCAGTTGAATATAATTCATACAATTTTAATTTTAAAAACTCACTATAACTTACCTTTTTAAATAAAAATTAGACAATTTCAACACGATCTATTGGATTGAAATTTCAAAAAGGGGTTCACAGCTTCAATTTTGCTACGACCAAAGCTTTTTACCCAAATTCAAATTATCTTTAGCCGTTATGAACACTGTGCAATTTTTTCACTGTAATTAAGCAAGTTAAAATCATCGAATTAAAAAATAGTAAGTGACTTCAAATCATTGGAAATGAAAAAGGAAGTAAAGTCATTAAAATTGATTCTTATCGAAAATACTATTCATTGTGACATTTTTCGATTGCAGTCTTCTTATCAATAAAAGTCATTCAATGTCTCATAATGGAACAGACAAATCTTTAGCGTTCAAATTCTTACAAATGACTTTATGTCATTCAAGTTTAAATTAATTGATGCATTAATTTTCTTTAATGGGGTGATAAGAGCCTCGAAAAAAATAGTTCGAACAAATTGATTGATGATTTATTATGTAGTTGGTAAGTTTATGGATCTATTTGAAAAGAGGCTTCTTTAAAAATTTCTTGTACCTACAGTGAAAGGTACTTGTACAAAAGAAAACTTTGCCAGGTTTATAATTCATCTAAAGCCACAGAGCTAACTTGTAACGATACCTTAGGGGTCGTTCACTTATTACGTTACGCAAAAAACGACTCCCCCCCCCCCTGAACGTTTAGGTGAAAAATATAAATCGTTGATTGAAATGCAAAATATATTAAACTAATGATTTTATTATAATTCTATAATAAAATTCTTTTGATTACCGTTCTACATTTTCTATCTATTAAAATAATTCATAGAAAAAAGGTTCATAAACACAATTCGCATTTGTCTACATGCTGAAAACAATTTAATACCTTTTTATTCATAGATGAAATCCGAATACGTATAATTTTATAATATAAGCATTTTCATTGATATCATTATTATTTATATTCTCATATAGGTCGGTCGTTTATGCTTTATGTATTCTATATATTTACATAAGAATTGATTAAACTATGGAAGCTACTTACCATAAAACACAACCGGTGTAGACTGTACCATAAAAAGAGTAGAATTTTTCGCTCCTCTTTTGTAGGTATACAATTTTCTTCTTCTTCCTTTTAAGCCACATGCGATTTTTGATATCTCGGATATATTGAATATTAGCAAAAAGTTTTTATAATTCATAAAAGCAATAGCTCGCATTCTTCCTTTCATTAAATCACGTGTTTCAATTATTTCTCCTAAAAGCATGAGTCAAAATGCTTTGATTAGAAGTTACCACCACAATGTTATTTTTTAAGCCCAAATCTGTTCGCAGATTATTAAAAATTTCAAGAAAAATAAAATAAAGTAGACTAAAAGATTTGAAAACTCTACACCTGGCTCACTGCTTATATATTTCTAAAATGTGTGAATTTAATTTTTTTTTTTCAAATCTACGTGCTCAATATAATTCCAATTGAGATGAGTTGAGGAGAAACAAAATTTACACATTTTATTATTTGCTGTTTTTAATCACACAGAGAACCATAAAAATTGAACTCAATATCCATTAATCTACGAATAGAAATGCGTCAATATGATGAGAATGCTGCTATTGAAATTTTAAAAGCACTTTAGTACTACTCAGAATTTTATGGCATGTATTTATCGCACACATTTTATGTTTAAATTTCATATTGATAAAAAAGATATTAATAACAAGTATGTATGCATTCCATGAATATGCATTTGCAATTATTAAGTGAGCCTTTATGGGCGATTCCACGGATGAATTTTAATTTTCTTTGTTGTTTTATAAAAAGTAAACCGTCATTCGATAAAGCTTTAATTCAAGTAAAATTTGATTTCAAAAATTTGTATCCAATACCTCTGAATAGCACTTTTATCCGTTAAAAAAGCTTTAAATTTGAAATTTTAAACCGATTCAAATTTTGTTTTCAAAATTTATTTTTTTTTTCGACCTTAGCTTTGTATATTAAGTAGTTAAAAGCAGCTTTAGCAAGTATAAAGTGCAAAAAGCATCAATTTATTCTTAAAATTTTAACGGACATCAAGTTCTAAAATAAGGAGTTCTAATGGTTCTTATTTTAGAACTAATTCAAACATCGGAAGTAACGTATTTGTCTAGAGGTATTGGATTTGTATTTTCTCATGGATTAAGGAAAAAAGTTTTGAAATCTTCAATTTTTACTATTAAGGTCTCTTCTAATGATTACGGCACTATAAATGAAAGATTATAATAAAATACATGTAAATAGTTCAGTAAAACATTCGAATTATCTATGTTTCTAAATCCATAATAAATTATAATATCCGTAATCTACTTGAATGGAAGATGAATGTTTTACATTGAAATCATCCATGTTCCATACATTGAGAGCTAAATTAAAGAATACTACCACTTTTTAAAAGTTGAACTTGTAACTTAATTAAGCCGCATTCAAAGAAATTACAAGTCTCGAACAAATGCGCGTGGACATTTGTAATTACTGAAAGTCTCAATTACAAATCAAGCGAGGCTATATAAAAGTGACTTCTGCTAGCATTTGTGAAGCACATCGTAGGAAAATATTTTTTGAGATTCGAACTGGATGGATGATTTTAGGATAAAAAATAAATCTTCCATAAATGTCAACATAAAATGTATGAAAGATATTGTCTATGTGTGACGACGAAAGACATAATGAAATATCTCGGTGATTTACGTAAATAAGTTTAAAGACTGCAGCTTGAAAGTCATTAATTAAAGAGAAAATTTTTGGTTTAAATCCGAATTTTTCAAAAAATTCAATCGTAGAGTCGCCCTTAAACATAATAGACTCATGAGCATTGCTCTATAGGAAGCAAATAGTACGATTTATATTTTCTATTTGAATTTGCTAGAATCGATGCTTTCAACATTTCTGTGAAGCGTGTCTGTAAGTATACATAATATACATGTCTATATTTTGTTTAAAATCCGTCTCCTATTGCATAATGTGTAATTAAAATGCGTTTAAATGGCATTTTTAGGGGTAAATATTTGACTGAAACACGATACTTCTGATTTCACTGTCCCAATAAAGCATAAAAATTGGGGGAAGCTTATTTAATGGTTCTATAAATGACAAACTACTGAAATTTTATGAGACCTTTAAAAGACTTTAATTAAAGAATTGTAAATTTCATTAAACAGATATAGTAATAATATCATATGAACGAACATAAAAGACATGATGCTACATTGTTCTACAGAAATTAGGCAATATTTATATCCATACTCATTGTGGCGTATTATAAATTTATATTTATATTCACACCGTTTTCACGTTCATCTATTACATCATTTTCAAAAAACAGATTTCAAATTGGTTGTGGCATTGCTGAGAAAATCGCAAAATACGCTTTCTGTAAGCAAACAAGCAAGCAAGCAAATTAATCAGCAAGAAATCTCAATAACGAGACATCGTAGAGACTTCTAGTTTTTTACATTTGATTCGTGCTGCTCTATAAAAGAGCTGTATTGTTTTTGGGCAAGGTAGGAACAGCCGTTGCTTCAGAAAAAGCAAAAAACTTTCCTTTCTTACGAATTTTTCAAATTAAAAGTTCACTGTGATTTTTTTTTATTTTAAATTAAACTTTGGATGAAGAAAATTTTTTTGAGCAAAGAACCAAGAAGGAAATACATTTTCAATTTTGGACTAGGGGCGACCCTAGTCAAAATCAGTTTTTTCACTTTTTTTCTTCGAAGGTTTATCCAATTACAGTGAAAATTTGTGTGAGTTTACTACAGAGTTGCGACGACAGGTACCTGTCACAGGTAAAGGTGACAGTTTCTGTCAAAAGATCACCTGTCACAGGCCGTTACCTGTTCACAGGTCAAATTTTTTCGCCTATCACAGGTCTGACCTGTCAAAGGTTCTACCTGTCACAGGTCGTTACCTGTTCACAGGTCAATTTTTTTCGCCTGTCACAGGTCTGACCTGTCAAAGGTTCTGCCTGTCACAGGTCGTTACCTGTACACAGGTCAATTTTTTTCGCCTGTCACAGGTCTGACCTGTCAAAGGTTCTGCCTGTCACAGGACGTTACCTGTTCACAGGTCAATTTTTTCCACCTGTCACAGCTCTGACCTGTCGCAGGCCTCACCTGTGACAGGTCGTCACCTGTTGACAGGTAGAAAAAATCTACCTGTCACAGCTTGACCTGTCACCTGTCACCTGTCACCTTTGACTATCGAAATTTTTTTCTTCTAGTGAAGTATAAAGATTTCAAACAAAATTCATCAATTTTTTTGCTTCCTCAAGTCACGAGTTCAAATCTCACCGCAAGCAACTTTCTTTTTTTGCATTTTTATGATTTGTTTTTAAACTTTTTTGATAAAACATTAAGTTTTATGACACATTTTTCCATTTTCATATTTTATTTCTTCACTTTCTATATTTTAACATGTATTTTAAATTTTTTCCATATATTTTCATACAAATTTAAATTTTTTTGTCATATTTTATCAATATTTTATACATATTTTATTTTAACAAGCTGAAATCTGATACAAAGGCTCTTTTCCTAGATCTGGATGTTCTAAAATCGTAATCTTGGATCATAAAATGGCATAAAATATTAAAACTAGTATAGACTTTGTCATTCGAGACCGCAAAAAGTCGAAATATATAAAAAATTATAATCCAAGATTACGATTTCAGAACATCTAGATCTAGGAAAAGAGCCTTTGTGTCAGATTTCAGCATGGTAAACTAAAGTA